CTAAGAGCACTTGCAGCACGAAGCAGAGCTGCAAGCCAATAACGGAAAAAGGGCAAGCGGAGATAAGATCATAGAACAAATCAAAGAGCACAAGCCAAGAATTACAATTAAATGTTCATGGATTTAATCAACAGACAACGAAAAATCTCATGTAGGAAGAAAAAAGAATAGGGCAATTAAATGTGCTTTTTTTTTTTTTTTTTTTGTTTTTTTTGCAAAATTATTACTTAAATAAAGTGATATTTGCAAAGTTTTTCTTCTAATAAAGAATGCTCGAAGCCAAAAGCATAAAAGTACAAAACATATATAGACAAAATTAATTAGACTAAATTGAGAATGATTTGTTTAGCTTGTGTTTTTGAGTATAAGTTAATGATGTAACAAATGTATTTTTTTTTATAATTTATTTATATGAAAATAATAAAAATTAATTTTTATTTTAATGTTATAGTCATATAAATAGTTTTAATTAACTAATTGATTAAATTTAAGTCAATTTTTGTTAATTATTTTTATATAAATTAATTATAAAAAAATATATTTACCCATTTAAAATAAAATTGCCCCCTTAGGAGGGTAGGGACTACTAATGGATGTATTAATTGCGCATCTAAATATAACAAGGGACAAAAAGCTCGTGAATTAAAAGCAGGGGATATCAAGGACGGTTTGTCCCTGAAGGGAATGTTATGACAAATTGAAAACACCCTAGGAAAGGAGAAATAGAAAGGCCTTTTTGATTTCATTTATTTATTTTGATGAAAACATTTATGATTTTCGTTTTTTTTATTTTAAGGGTCTCGGTGTACTTGTACATTTTGTCGTACCTGTCTCCGTATTCTTTTTTTCCTGAGGATGTACCAAACAATAGATTTCTCTCTTCTGTATTCTTTTGAGATTAACTTTGATATTTATATAAGCATAAAGTTATGAAAAAAGATACCAACATAAAAAAAAAAAATTATGAAGGGTCATGAGTTAATGCATCTTTCTTTGTATATTTGTTTTTACAACAGAAAAAATAAAATGTTATTATGAAAAAGTGTAATGTAATTCAAATTGCATGACATTAATTATTAGATAGAGGTTAAGTTCTTGTTATTAAAATCATTTCCTTATCTAATATATAGTCTTTATTTTGCGGTCTGAATTATAAAATATGTTTCTCATATTATTATTAGTTATAGGAGTGTAAGTGTTATTCTAACCCTTACATAATCCCCATTGTTTATACCTTATGCATCAAATACAAAACTTGCACTAGAATTCTAAAACAAATTTGAATGTCTCTTTACATGTGTTCATATTTTCGCACATGTGCGCTTCTAAGCCAACTCCAAACCTTTTCTACATAGCACTTTTTTTAAAAAATAACTAAATTTATTATTTTTAATTGATAATTTATATACTTATATTACCTTTTTAATTAATATTTTATATTTTTGGGATAATAAGCCTATAAATTACCAATATAGCACAAACGAAAGAAGTATGAATATATCTAAGATAAATAAATTTTTATTAATATTAAAAAATTACTTTGTAATACTTCATTATACATGACAAAATAATCCACCAAGAAAACACGATGCCTTAAGTCATAAAAAAAAAAAAAAAAACAAAAAACAAAAAAATGCCTAATGGTAATAAAGAATATATTTTACAGCCTATTACAATTACAATACATTACTCCACAATACATAAATTTGATTAGATTATGCTACAACTTTTTCCTACCAAGCAACATTCAGTGAGAAATTCCCTCAACAAAGTACCGGCGCATTGTAGGGTATGAGTGGAACAAGTTTGTTGCCCAATTTTTTACCACACCAAATACTGCATTGACAGAATTGAATACTACACTGATGGAATTGGATGTTGTGTTGATGGTAATAGGTAGAATGGGTTGGGTTAAATCCCGATATAGACTGAGAATAAGGTGTATGGCAAGAAGGAGCCACATGAACAAGGAGACTGAGGCAATATGTGGTTTGCTAATGGAAAGGAGTGAAATAACCGTTAATAAACCTGTCAGGACGATAATGGTTCTCAAAATTCCACTCCAGTGATGGGCACGAAAGTTGATACTAGTGCTGCAGAGGCAAACATCAGCGCATAGTGCTGTAGTGCATAGCATCATCATTACACAATAAGTGGATAGCATGAAAGAATGTAAGGGCGGAGAGAGGACTGAGCATTGCAGTAAAGGAGTGAATGCCGTTATTACCAAGCCCAATATGGCTATTGTTCCAGTGAAAAAGGACTCCTGCCTCCTGCAAAGCAAAACCATTAGGAAAATTCGGATTTGGGAAAGTTAATTAGAAGGCTTCATAATCGCCAGGCCCAATGCATTGAAAATAAACTTTAAGCTCATCCCGATTGTAATGTTGTGTTGTTTGACCGCTTGTGATCAAATAAATACAATTTATGTCATTTTTAAATGATTATTATTTACAATCATTTTAAAATATTTTTAACACTGAAAAAAAGTAACGAGGTAATTTAAGTTGAAAACACCATTTTAATATTTTTTAAGATCATTACAAACTACCAAAATGGCTGGTGATAATCTATTTTCTAAATAGAATAATGAATAATGATGATGAAAAAAAAAAGACTTAGAATTTTCATAAAAAATTAAAGAATTAGGAATAAAAAAGTGCAGAATTTAGTTCAAAATCAAAAAGTATCAAACTACTAAAATTTAAGGATTAAAATTAGCATTTAGCTTAAAAAATTGAAGAATGATACTAACATTGTACTGATTCTAAATAAAAGTGAAAAAAGAAAACACATAAACTGATTTTCCATGTTGAATTGAAAAAATACAACTGAATTAAAAGACAAAGTGAACAATTGACTAACCTCAAAAGCTGAATAATTTGGCTGCTGGGTGAAGACATTGTGAACTGTGGAAGAATTAAAAGAATAAAATCTTCGTTTAACGTAGGAACAAAGAAAAAGAAACAAAAATTATTTGGATTCTGCTATCTCAAACGAGATTCCCAATCAGATGAGTTTATGAAACGAAAAGTGATAGTTATTTATAGGCAAGAGAAGTTAAACGGGAAATGACCATTGACATTGAGTGTCTCGTGAAAGGAGAAGAAAGATTACTTTGAAAAATGTAAATCTGTAAGTGCCTTGACCACAAAATTTTGACTTGGAATTATAAGAGGACACGCTATCTGATCACGGACAACATAAAGGAGAAGAAACAAAACAAAAATTCTCTGGATTCTGCTATCTCAAACTGGGATTCCCAATCAGATGAGTTTATGAAACGAAAAGTGATAGTTGTTTATAGGCAAGAGATGTTAAACGGGAAATGACCATTGAGTGTCTCGTGAAAGGAGCAGAAAGAAAAATGTAAATCGGTAAGTGCCTTGACCACAAATTTTTGACTTGGAATTGTAAGAGAACGCCACCTGATCACGGACAACACAAAAAAAAATGCATGCGATTTCGTGTGCTTCTCTTGTTTTTTCTTTTTTAACAGCATTCCATTTCTCTCTTCATGTTGGTGATTAGGACAGGAAGAAAAGGACAGCTAATAAAAGCTGGCAAAGAGGCTGCCGATCTATGTAGGCTTTGTTTGGTTAGGGCAAGGTGGTTTTTTGGGGTGTATTGTGTTTTTGGGTAGATTCACTACTGGAAATAGCTATTTTCCAAACCGAAATATTGGTCTGAAAAAATTGGTATTTGATCTGAATTTAAATATTCAGATCGTTATTGATTCAGAATATTGGTTTGAAAAAACATGGTCCAAATAAATAAAATTTCAGACCAACAAAATTTTGGTCTGAATAAATATAATTTTCAGACCAATATTGGTCTGAAAATTTAAAAACAGTTTAGACCAAAAACAGTCTGAACCATTTCGGACTTGCCTAGAAAAACAAAAAATAAGGTCCTTGTGTGTCAATATGTTGAAACTATTTGCATACCAACATTGGTCTAAAAATATGCGGGCTTTGTTAGAAACAAATAAAAAAATTGGTCCTTCTACGTCAAT